AGGGTGACATCACACTGGATGACAGAACATAGATCAAGGTTACATGGGCCAACTACACCTACGAACAATAAAATCCTGATTAGCAACTGGGTCATTTCTCTTAGCTAGTCAGCTGCTTAAGGGAAGCAGACCAGTACAGAAAATAATTCTACTACTGGGAATCCCAGTCCCAGGGATTTTTCATGCGAAAATATGACAAAGACTATAACGAAGGCTGCTCATACAGTGATTCTTGAGGAATGGATGGCAGACACAGGAAAGTAATGCCACAGCAGAGCAGAAGCAGCCATATCATAACTGTAATTAAACACTTCTTTTGTTATATATTGCAGGGTTGTAGATTGATGTGTTTCCTCAAAAATCTTGAGATAAGCTAGTAAATTCAGTTATAAAAAAGAATGATGTTCCTCCACAACAGGTGAGAAAATTCATATCAAAACAAGGCATAAAGTACTATCATTTTAATCCCTCCTTATTTACCTATTTTCAAATTAGTGCATTGAATGCCCAAAAGTGAAAGTGATACATTAGAAATAGTTTAGTTGCAGCAAAGGCTATCACATTTTCTTAATGCTTTCTTGTCCAAAAGAATTTAGTTTTGCTACTTTGAAGGCCATTATACTCAAGGTCAGACCAGGTAAGAAAATTTGATGCTAAGAGTTTCAAGCTGCCTGCTAGGTTTTGGGTTTTTCCTCCCCAACGAATAGTATCCAAGTATGTTTACTGATTTAACAGAATTTAATTTCAAAATAGAACTTCCAGAGCATCTTTTTAACTAATGAGGTCACAAATCTTAGGTATAGGACTGTTACAAGAACACATATAGCACATAATCCTGCCCCATCTTCACCAGCATTATTAAAATTTGTAATTTTATTAGGTTTTAAAACATCTGGTGATATTGTGAATGTCCCAGCTTGTCAGAAATCTAGTATTTTAAAGCCTGACTCATGGAAGCCCAATACCTATTAATAAAAAGACATTTCAGTGAATCAGTATCTTCAGAAGGTTGTATTGATCTTGTATCGGACACTCTGCAGCATTTCTGGGATATATACCCAAATTCTTGGCCTGCATTATTTCTGATGAAGACAGAGTCAGTAATCTCTCCACTTATAACGTCTAAATTAGGTTACTATAAATCACAGATTTATGACAAATGAGATAAACATTCCCAAAATATCTTTTGGCAAAATGCTTTTGGACTGCAATTTTGCCAGATTTTTATTTGTCTGCAAAATTGACAGTCTATAGTGTACAGAGACATCATTTAGGTTCTGTCATACTACACAAAAATGCTTTGATGTGTAGCTCTTTCCATTTGTATAGGTTGTGCATATCGGTGACTTTCCAACTTCTTTTTATTTGGGCTCATGAACTAGGCAACTCCTAAAAATCTATGGGTTTTGGTATAGTATTTATGGAGCTTTTCATTTTATCACCTACAAAGCAGGCATCAGAAATCTGTAATCCCCTGCTTCAAACTACATTTGCCCAATTTTAAAAACAGTATTAAAAGAATGGCTTTTTACCAATTAAGATTACCAGCTTGGACTTATTTCTACACAAAGTATTTATCTGATCCTCAAAGCATGGTAAAATAAAATTGTAAAGCTTCAATTAGTGTCTTAAGTTGGATTTAACATGTCCTATTGCTTTATTACAAGGAGACCACAACTCCCAGTGGTGCAACGCTACCAGTAAGAACTATCTAATAAGTATGATGCTCAAACCAATACTACAAAACTGTTTCCACTTCTACATGCTGAAGCTTGCAAGATTTTATAAACCAAATAGAAATGATTTACATACAAACAGAAAGCAAATGATTAACAGTGTACTTCATTTTTATAATGCAGAGCAGAAAAGAGCAAGTGATGCTAATCTGAGGAAACGATTGCATAGTGTGTCAGAAGTATGACTTCTATTAGAAATGCACTAATTATGCCACACAGTGCTTCCAAATTCACAGAAAAAGTATTACAAAAGTGAAGTCCTACTGTGTCAAATATGCCACACAATTTTTGTTCTGATAACAGCTATTTAGGTTAGGGCGTGACTTTTCTCTGATATAGCTGTGCTAGTACAACCCCTAGTGTGGACACAGTTTACTGCCATGAAGCCATTATACCTGTATCAATTACAAAGCCTGATTCTAAGAAGAAAAAGTATTAAGTAAGGCACTGTTATTTCAGCACAGCTACATCAACAATGGGAGGGCTGAGAGAGAAAAGGAGAGGGCAGTAGGTTATGCTACTTTCCAACACACTGGGCCAGATGAGCAGATGCAGATTTTGTGTAGAGAAACTGTGTGGTATATGTCTTTCCACCTTCTCCCTCCATAATCCTAATGTTAATCAGGATTATGATGGATAATATTACAAAACGCTTATTCAATTGAAATGGTAACATTGCTCATTGCTTCCTCACCTTTATTTTAAGAAATATTCATGTCAGAGATTAACAATAGGTAGTCCTATCAAGGTGCCAATACTTGTTATTAGTCCTAACTGAATAATAAAGATAGAAGAAGAGATATTAGAATAAAAGAATAAGACCAACTCACTTTAATCTTCCTAAATGATATAAACTCATATTTTAATAACTTTATAAATATCACTGTATGAGAAATGCATAAGCTGTATTTATTGACATACAAGTATATGTATCTGATGATCCTACATTGTACACATGGGGATTTCTGCCATTCTGACACACCTGAATAACTTTAATCTTTTTAAAAGTCACTACATACAAAGTAAAATACATCTTCAAAACTAAAATTATCCACAGCACAACTGAAAATACAATTTTTCCTCAAGAAACAGTAAACACTTTCAATATATCAAAAGACAATTTGAAACATGATTCTTTGCTTTTAAAACAGAAAAACGCACCATTTAATATAAAATAGGATGAAAATATTCATACATTATTGTCTCTCTACTTTTAAAAAATAAATATGTATTTATTATGAACAGATGGTGGCCAAGGAAGGTATCAACTCTGCCTCTTAGCCAGAAGGTCAGGTCATGGCTGAGAGACCAAAGAACAATTACCATTTGCTATGCAGTGCCATATAAGCTGAAACATTTTAGGTTTTTCTTTAAATACAACGCAAGATGCAATTGAGCTGTTTTCATTTCATTTAAATGAAATTATTTGCAATGACTTATTAACATCTTACAATTTTATTACAAAAAAAGAACAAAACAAACACACACACACCAAAAAACGAAACCCCAAAATGTACACACACTCTTTTCATTGTCTTTTAACATGTTAAATAATATTAGGACCTGTACAGAACTTTCTTGGTTACAAGAGTCACAGCTATAAAACAGCTGCAAGATGCTGAGTCTGAGAATTTCAAAATAGTTTGTTTTCCTTTTTTTAAGGAACCAACAATCATATTTGAACAATATAATTAATTTATGTAATTACTGAATTAGTCTAATAATCTTTGCTGATAGGAACTTCCCCTCCCATCACTTCACTTTAATATCAAATTATAAATCACCACATTTTGGTGTATTCATTCCCACACTGAATAAAATACCAGTATGTCAAGGTTAAAATATTTTGTTAAATTTTGCAATTTGTTCAAAAGGCAATCCTGAAGTAAGTTGGAGAACAGGATTTAAAATCCAAGATACTTCTTCAAATATCTTATTAAACACATCCTGTTTTATTTGTATGCCAAGATTATGCCAACTCTCTTATCTGTGATATCTGTCAAGACACAGACGACAAGCCTGTTTTTTGTTTTTTAAAGTGTCCTTAGGCCTAAAGGATGCAGGAGTTAAAAAAAAAAAGCCAACCCTGAAACCAAAATGCTTTAAGGCCCCTGTTTTTCTGTATGATATTCTATACATATTGAAATGTTATTTTATCTGATAAACTTATCTTTGAGATTTTACATATCTTTTGATTATAATTTGAATAAATATTGCTTCCAGCCTAAGCTCATACTTAATTAATTTAATAAACTTACTGTTCTGCATTAAGATTCTGAAAAACTGGTAAATAAAAATATAAATTTAGAAATACTGTATTTTTCC